ATATAATAATAATAATAATAATAATAATAGTAAACGTTTAAAATTTGAAGGTTTTATTTTTGTAATGGAGGAAAAAGAAACCGCGATTGAAAAAAAAAAAAAAAAATTTTTTTTTTTGTTTTTTTATTGTCGAAGATTCTTTAGCTACGTGTTTGTCCAAACGAATCGGCCGCCTTATAAAAAAAACACATTTGAATCATCTTTTCCGTAAAAAAAAAAAAAAAAAAAAATTGTAATTATTAATAGTTCGGCGAAATAGAATTGAAAAACAATAATAATAATAATAATCTAACAATTTAATTACAGGGGTAACACAAAAATTTTTTTTTGAACTTTATGACGTGGAATTAGAGACGAGTTTCCGAAAAGGGTTTGACAATTTATATTTATTTATTTATTTCGTGTTCGAATGGGAAAAATTTTTATTAATTTTTTTTTCCCGTAGGAATTTTTATCCCGAATCGAACCGAATCGGATCCCATCGATTTTTTAAATATTTTTTTTGACAATATTTACTTGCACGGCCGCGAATCAAGTTAAAATTTAAATAAATTAAAAAAAAAAAAAAACCAATAAATTTAAAAAGAAAATTGATGAGATGGTATAGAAAAGGGGGGGGGGAGAAAACGAGAACCTTTTTTATTTCAAATTTTCCTTTTTAAAAAAAAAAAAAATAAATAGCTGTTTAATTGACCGTCTAATGTAACGCAATTATTTGTAAATGTTCTTCAAAACCTGCATTTAAAGGATTCGAACGACTATTATCAGTGATTATGTTTTTTTTTTTTTTTTTTTTTTTTAAACTTACTATAATAGTACACGTCGACCGTATGGAGACGTATTCACTTTTCAGGTACGCATTACACAGGATAGTATCAAGATAAAAACAGATTAACCAGATATTTTTTTTTTTTTTCTCAACGACGTACTCAATCTTTATTTTTTTTTTTTTACATTATCATTTACGGGAGAGAATAATTTAACCCTCCTCCTCCCCTGCCCTCCCCCCAATTTAAAAACAAAAACATCGAATTCAATTCGTAATTTTTTTTTTTTTTTGTAAAATAAAATTATTTATTACGAGGGAGAGAGAGAGAAAAGAGACTTTTTACGGTACTGATCCGTGGGCGGATCAAAACGTGGATCTAATTCTTTATACGAAGGTGCTGTATGATATTCAAGATGGCCTATCATTATAAATTTTCTAAAATAATAATAATAATTCCTTGCTATTATAACAAAAAAAAAAAGAAAAACTTGGAGGTCATTTTGTTTAATGGATGATGTTATGGGTCTCCAGAACGGGGAGAGAAGAATCTGGAAAGGTAATGGGAAGATGAGGACGTCGTCCCATGAGTCGGATATTTTGATAAGATGTCATTTAAAGGGGGAGGGGGGAGAAAAAAAACGATAATCTAAAGACTCGCTTAAAAGTGAGTCTCATCTTTCTCTCTCTCTCTTTGAGTCTTTGTCTTTTAACAAAAATCCTTTTTAATTCACATTTAAATGATATCTTTCTTTTGTTTTTAATAATAATAATAATAATAATAATATCTACCAGGTATTATTAGTAGCAGTTTTTTTTAAAACTATTTATTGATTATTTTAAAGTTTAAAAAAAAAAAAAAAATATCACACGTGATATTTTTCTCTTTTTTTTTACGTGAGACAAACTTTCATTTAAATATATTTAATAATAATAATAATGATAATACATATAGGGGATAATGAATGAACCGTGTGAAATTGTTTTCAAGTTGATTTCAAATGACAAACACATCGTTATCGTACGTAAATATATTTATTTAAATTCAGTCAAAAACTCACAAATCGGTCATAAATCTGCACCCGAATCAAAAAAATTTGACTTGACGGCAATAAAAATTTATTTATTTATTTATTTAATTCGATTTGTCGCATACAAATTTTTTAATTTGATAAACAATAATTTTTTTTTTTTGTTAAAAACAATAAAATAAAAATTAATAAGTTAAGAAAAAAATAATAAAAATTTTGGATAGATCGAAATAAAAATTTCCTTCTCTTAAAAAAAAAAAGGGTAAAAAAAATATTTTAAAGAGGTCATCGAACAAACGCACAAATACTCCGGTCACGTGTTTATGACGTAATAAAATAAAAAGCTCAAAGATGAAAAAAAAACACTAAGGAATGATGGGAATTCGACAATTAGTTATTGGGAAAAAAAAAAAAGGTTGGTCGGTCGGTCGGTCGGACGGTCGGTGTAATGATGGTGATTTCTTATTTCATCATCTGTGGAAGAGACAAAATATGGATGTGGAAGAGGTTCCCATAGCATACCTGAACAAACATCATAAGGCACGTAGGAAACGAGGAGATATTGTATAATTACGACAACGTTTCCATTTCATAAAAATTATTTTTTTTTTTTTTCTTTTGTCTCCTACTACCTTCTTTCAGTGTGTATTTCTATTTTTTTACCTACTTGAAATACCTTTGAAATAATTATTACCAACGTTAAAGAAAAAAAAATTGTTATCATCATTATTATTATTTTTTTTTTTTCTATTTCGTAAACAATAAATAGTAAATACATTTTTTTTTTAAATAAAACAATATTGTTATTTTATTATTTGCTTATTTAACGCTAATTTATTTAACGGTCGCAAATAATAATAATAATAATATCGATTCGGGCGGTCGTTAGAAAAAATAAATAAGTAAATAAATACAAATCAAATATAAATTGTAAAGATGAAAATCCCGCACACCAACGAACCACCACCACCAACGTAAGAAAAAAAAAATGCCGAATAATCGTTGGTAAATTTCAAAGGGGAAAAAATTTAAGTCAGTCGAAGACGACCGCAAGAGTTCCGGTGTTGAAACAGCGGTAAAAAAACAATAATAATAATAATAATAATTTATTACCGATTCACAAGAGAGAGAGAGAGAGAGAAAGAATCGGACGGAAAACGTGTCGTTAGGAAAATTTATGAATAATCGTTAATGTTCCGTACATTTACCTAACACACTAATACACCTTATTTAACTTACGCGTATATAAAAAAAAATTATTATTATTATCATTATCATTATTATTTTTATTAATAAATTTTTATTTCGCGCATTTTTAATTTTATTTTTAATTTTACGCTTTGTTTGTGTACTTTCACGCACTCATTCAAAAAAAAAAAAAAAAAAAAAAAACGTACGCGAAGTGCGTGAGTGCGTTAATGGCTTGTCATATTAAAATTAATCGAATGATGATAAAAATATATTTATTTATTTTATAGTCTATAAAAATATAGATAATTAACAAAAAAAAATTTTTTTTTCTTTTTCGTTCCAGGCTTTGAATGGATTTCTAATGATGATGACTCAAAATGGAAAATTATTATACATATCGGATAACGCAGCTGAATATTTGGGTCATTCTATGGTAAATATTTTTATTTTTTATTTTATTACATTGTTTTATAGCGCTATAATTAACGCCGAATTTGTTTTGTTAATGATAATAATAATAATTAAAATCCGAGCGTTTTTTAATTAAAATTTTTTTTAAAAATTATTATTAAATTCTTGTCCCGTAAAAAAAAATTTTTTTTGTTTTTTAAATACGATTTCGTCTGCTTTTATAACATTTTTCTTATAGCGCTATAATTAACGCCGAATTTGTTTTATTAATAATAATAATAATAATAATCAAAATCCGATCGTTTTTTAATTTAAATTTTTTTAAAAAAATTATTATTAAATTGTTATTCCCGTAAACAACAATTTTTGTTTTTTAAATATAATTTCGTCTGCTTTTAAAACATTTTCTTATAGCGCTATAAATTATTCTTTTCCTATCAAATTAATAATTATATATTTTTGGCTAATAACTACTAAAACGTAGAAAGAGAGAAAGAGAAAAATGCAATTTTATAGCAGTACGAAAACCGAAAAACGAAAAATTTATCGCTATAAACTATACAAAATAATAATAATAATAATAATATGTAAAAACGTCATAAACTATATGAATATTTTTTTTATAGAGAGTTAAATGACAAAATAGCAATAATAATAATAATAATAATAATAATAATAATAATAATAATGTGGGTCATTTAGCTAATTTATTCATGCGTAGAATGCTAAAATTTTCCTATTTTTTTTTATTGTTGTTGTCGTCGTATTTTTATTATTAAAAAAAAAATTTTTTGTTGTTATAAAAAATGATAATAATAATAATAATAATAATAATAATAATAATAATAATAATAATAATAATAATATATTAAAGTTTTAAGTTATCAAAAAAAAAAAAAACGTTAATTTTTGTGTTGTCATACGAAAAAAAAAAGCTTTCTCCAACGGAAAAAAAAGAAAGAAAAAAAAAATTATTTCGAACGTTTTTTAATGCTCCATTAAACTCGTTTTTAAATTCCTTCTTTTTTTTATCAAATAATTTATTATTATTATTATTATTATTATTATTATTATTTTATAAAGTTTTATTATTATTATTATTTGATAATAACTTATATAAATTTTTTAATTGGTTCCTTATGACGACCAAAAAAAATAAAATAATCATAAAAATTATTTATTTGTTTCATCAAATGGGATTTCCGGTTTTTTTTTGCGGTTTTGCGACAAAATAAAAGTAAAAAAAAATTTTCGGCCTTAATTTCATTATCCCCTCCCCTCCCCTCCTTCCCCTCGACTCTCTAACTCTTATCAATTTTTATCATTTTCACGATTTTCTTTTTTCTTTTTTTTCTTTTTCTTTTTGTCAGATTCCGGGTGTGCAATTATTATTTTTAATTACTATAATAAATTTATTTTTAAAAAAAACGTGATAACCGTTATCAATAACCACTTTAATTTTCGTTTCTTTTTTTAAATCGCCAACCGTGATCGTGATTATATATTTAGGTCGACATTTCAGGAATTGTACACAATAATAATAATAATAAAGGGTTTTTTTTTTTTTTTGATAAAAATTTAATTAATAAATAATATTACGTAATAAATAAATAAAAAAAAAACCGTTAAATTCGTTATTCATCACCCCTTTCCCTCCCATGACCCGTTTCCGGAATAATTTTCCGCGGAAAATTATATTTGAAAAAGGAGGACTGGAGGGGAGGAAGGAAGGGGAAAGAGGGAGGAAAAAGAGGAAGGGGAAGAAGGAAACGCGAATAAAAACGACCGAGTTAAAATAACGAAAAAAAATTTTTTTCCCCCCTCCATTCGTGAGATGAAAAATAAAAAAAAAGAAAATGGCGTCCGGGAAATTTTTTTTTTTTTTCAACCTGGAATCATAATTACAGCTGTGAGGTTTTTTTTTAAACTTGAATTTATGACAAACGAAAATAATTTATTTGTTCAAGTTTTTTATTTTAATAATGATTCGTCTATCAAATTCTATTAAAATTTATAAAAATTTTAAATAATAATAATAATAATAATAATAGTTTTAAAAGGTTTTACAGCGAAAAAAAAAGCTCGCTCGCACGATTAATTTTTTTTTTCTTCGGCGGATATTCTCGTTGGCGCCACCTTTTTTTAGTTTGTTTGTTTGTTTGTTTGTTGCGTTTCACCGTTTTAGGGATTTTTTTCCTTTTTTTTTTTAACAAAACATTTTCGAAATTTAATCCCGTTTTTTAATAATAATACTCTTCCTCGTCACTCTTGAATTTACGTAAGTGCGTATTATCACAATTTGTGATAATTTTTAAAGTACGTCAAGTTTTAAAAAAAATTTCAGGTCAAAAAATTGTTCAGGCATTTAAATGTTTTTTATCATTACTATTATTATTATTATTATTACAAAGTTTCAATGATTATTATTTTGAATATTAGTCATAAGAGTTTATGATAAAAAAAAAATTTTAGATTAACTTTTTTCTTTTTTAAATTATTATTATTATTTTTTTTTTTTTATATATTTCCTTCTCTCTCATTCTTTTCTTTTCAATTTTTCCCCCAATCTCTCTCTCTTTCTCTCTTTCTTTCTTTCTCTCTTGTATTTTTTTTCATTTCCTTCCAACATTCACTCTTTTATTTATTTATTTATTTGTTTGTTTGTTTGTTCTTTCTTTCGAAAGTAAATAAGTTGGGTAAGAAAACGAAAAGAATAAATTATGGTGATCATGGAAAAGGTCTCCAACCTTTCTGGTTTTCTGCTCTTTTTTTTCTTTTTTTAAATCACGTGAGTGAAATTGTAAAAGTCACGATTTCGAGTTAAATTCAGATAATCCGCCGCTCTTTCCTCCTTCGCTCTTCGCTACCCTTCTTTGTTCAAACTCATTTGTTTTCTATTTTTTTTTTTTTTTTTATTATATTTTTTGCATGCGAATTTTTTTATATGTTGTTTTATTGGTTTTTTGTTTGTTTGCTTGTTTGTTTGTTTTACTTCCTCGTAATAAATTTAAATACGCGGAAGAATTTAATTTCTCCTCTTTCCCTTCTCTTACTCTCTTTCTCTCTCTCCCTCCTTTTTTTTCTTATTCCTTTTAACTTTCCTTTATTTTTACGATTTCAATTTAATAATTAGTGAAACGTCCTTCTTATTAAAAAATTATCATTATTATTATTAATAAATAAAACCCGAAAACGGAAACCTACGAACGGAATTAAAATGAATAACGTGTCAAAATTAAAACATGTTAAATACGCCATAAATTTGATTTTAAAAAAATAAAATAAAATCCAGTTTATGAAAATTTTTTCATAACTTTTTCCAGTCGTTTGTTGTTCAATCATAACAACCACAACCACCACCACCACCGGATTTAATTATTGATCGAATTCGATTTCGATCAAGTTAATAATTTTATTTCAAAATAAATCACTCTTTTACGACAAATTTTTTTTTTTTTTTGTGCAATGCGTTCGATCATTTTTTTCCCTCCCAAAAATTAATAATAATAATAATAATGATAACCCAAATACGAAAATATATAATTATATTTTATTAATAATAATAATAATGATAATAATAATGTTTGAGAGAGTAATTAAAAGTGTCGAAAATTATTTTTTATTAACATAAGATCAGGGTTACGAATTAAGAAAAAAATCATCATGATATGCAATTGCGAGAAAATTTCAAAAAAAAAAAAAAAAAAGCGGAAAATCAAGTTTAGACCCCCAAAAAAATGAAAAAAAAAAGAAAACGAATTACGGCCCACCCAGAATTAATTGCGTTCTTGTCCAAGGTGTGGTCACCTTCTTTGCACTCTGCTTTTTTTTTTTTTTATTTCCATGCAAATTTTCATATTCAATTTTATTTTATTTCGAAAGTTGTTTGTTTGTTTGTTTGTTTGTTTATATATCATTTATTGTTTATTATTATTATGATTATTATTATTTATAAATAATATTTTTTCCAAAATTGAAATAATATCTCATTTAAATTTTTAATGTAATTGATTTTGCTCCATAAATCGTACGAATCATTATTATTATTATTATTATTATTATTATTCAATAACGATTATAAATAAAATGTCATTATTTCGCGTATATCGAAAAACATGAATGGAATATTTTGATTGATGATGATAACAATAATAATAATAAGAATAAGAAAAAGTAAATCATGAGAAAGAAAACAGGTACATTTTAGAATCCGACGTTGCATTTTTTTTTTTTTTCGGTTGTTGGTTGTTGGTCGGTCGCAGTCATGAGTCATTCGAGTTCAGGTGTCTCTCACCCTGACTACGATGACGACGACGAGTACGACGACGATTCGTCCATCTTTATTTACATGCTCAATTTCTCTTGTATTAACTGAAGAAAGGCAAAAAGTTTGAAAACGTATTTATATATACCTAAAGAATATGAATGAGTCAGGGAGTGGGTAATGGGGGTCCAACTTTGGCCTTTCAAGATCTTTACTATCTTCCATCACCCTGTTGTTGTGGTTGTTGTATTTGTTGTTGTAGTATCTGACCATAATCGTAACTGCTCTTACGTGGGTACTCTTTAAAAAAAAAAAAAAAAAATTTCCTTTATCTGGGAATCCATCTTTAACTTGTTCTCAAAGATTTTTTTTTTTTTTTTGTGTCTTTATCCGTTCATGGGAATATATACTTCGGATGGTTGCATATTTTTTTTTTTTTTTTTAACCGAGAAACGAATATTTACCATCGTGTCATTTTGATTGATCTTTGACCTACGACGTCGGACAAAAACAATTTTTCTTTTTTTTTTACCCTTTTCTTCATTTTTTTAGCAAAATTTTTTTCTTTCCCTCCAAAACTACTTTTTTTCCCATATCATTATAATTTAAGAAGAAAGAACGACAACTTTTGATTTTTCTTTCTTAAGTATTGACAGATTTTTATGACATCTCCATCATTTTTCATCAAGGTTGAAATTATCGAGTAGTAGTAGCTCCTGCATCCACGCGTCCATATTAAAATCCATTTAGTTGTTTACGTCATCATTTATTATTTATTTCCTTTTAGTTTTAGTTCATTTTAATATTTCATTGTTTGAAAAATTTTTTCTTTTTTTGGTGCATTAAGAGTTATTTCGTCACCTTAAAACTTTTAGTTTTTTTTTTTTTTAAGTATTTGTCGCCGCCGTTATTTTATTTTCTTTTGTTTACATTATCATTATTGTTGTTTTTTCACCAATGAATCGATTGTAACTTCGAGTCCGGGAGAGTAAAAATCTACGCAACGCGTTGGAAAAAAAAAAAAAATTTTCACGTTCGGGAGAAAGAGCCTCGGGGAGAAAAACTCGATGCTACCCATGCCAAAACATTAATATCCATCTTGAATTTATAGAACAACATGTTGACAGGTTAAAAATGAAAATTTTTAATATTCTGACTAAAAAATTATGGAGTTTCGAATAATGGGCATAGTCTAACCTGCCCCGAACGGCCCCATTCCCAGACTCATCATTTCAAAAGCTTGCCACCCATGATTTTTTTTTTTTTTTTTTTTTTTGATTTCCGCTTGAACAATTCGAAGCGGAGAATAATAGTTTGGTTTTTTTTTTCTAAAAAAATCGTAAACAATGTCGGCTGTAAATAAATTTTTTTTTTTTTCGCGTTCCCCCCTCCGGGAAAAACATTGTTTGCTACTCATTTAAATAACCAATAACTGGGGGCGACGCCATAATTCATTAAAAAAAAAAAAAAAAAAACAAATTGACCGATTTGAGTAGTCAAAAATTAAAATTCAACATAAAAAAAAGACCCGGGAGGGGCAAATTTAAAATGATAAACCCGGGGGGCATAAAAATCGGCGAATAAATTAAAAAAAAAAAAAAAAAAACTAATCTACTTAAGGACCGAATGGGGGGGATCCCCTCAATATATACCTATAATTAATGACTTGCTCTCGTCGTCCTCACCTTATTTTTTATAATTTTCTTCATTTATCATTTTTTAAATAAATTGAATTTGAATTGTTTATAAAAGATAACAAAATAAAAATAAAAAACTCGATTGCGGAAAGTGACAAATAAATATCATCAACGATGATGATAAAATTCATACGAAAAAATTTTCCAGGAACCAACCTTAATTTTAAGGTTTTTCTCTATAATTATAAGGCTCCGCCATTTTTTTTTTTTAATTACAAGTTTGACTTGATAAAATAAAACAAATAATTTTAAGAAAATTTTTTTTTTTTAAAACAAATTTTTTGAAAATTTTTCTTATATCATTCCGGACGTTTATTGACGTTTTTCATAGAGTAAAAAAAAAAAAAAACACAAAAAAAAAGAATAAAAAATCGTGAAAGATTTTGATGTTTTCTTACTCTAATATGACTGTAATTAAATGTAGTTTCTCACCGATTTTAGAGGGAAAGACCACCGCGAAAAGAAGGGAAGGCGAGATTTTGGCTGCTACTTTGCGGAAAGGTATGTTGAAAGAACGAGGGGCCACCAGGAAACTCCGCCTTCCTGTTGGTGGTGGTCCTCCGCCCTTTTAACATTTGATTACTTGCTGACGCGTTAATCATAGGTAAAAATCTTCGGGCTGCTCTCTCTCTCTGTCTCTCTCACTCTCTCACGGATTATATTTTTTCCCCTTTTCGCCAAACAATTCCTTCTTTTCTTTTTCTTATTTCATTTTGAGTTTTTCTTTTTTTCCATATTTGATCCAACCACCCCCCTTTTTTTAACGTGTAGTTGGGTGGTCACATCCACGCGGTGCGGTTTTTTTATTTATTTTAATTTTAATATGGCTTAATTATTATTAATATTATTTATTAGTGCCTATTTTTTTTTTGTTTACTAGAAAACATAGAGGTTTAACATTCACGTTTAATCGTAATAATAATTTTTTGACACTTACGAAAATTAAATTTTAAAAAAGAAAAATATTTTATTTGCGAAAAATTTTTCTACGGGTACCTGTTTATTATTATTATTATTTTTTTTAAAATAAAATCAAATTGATTCAATTTAATATAAAAAAAATTTTTTTATTTTTATAATGAACATCATCAGTGTTATTGAAACTTGTAATTAATTACCAGGTACAATTTGTTTTTAATAAACCGGAGATATGACAACGGGTACCAGGTAAAAAAAAAAAAAAAAAAAAAAAAATACTTTCGAGATTTGTAATACTTAAAAAAAAATAATTTTCATCGGGTTTTTTTTTTTTTTAATATATAAATCTACCACCGTTTAATAATTACCGGTCATAAAGGTTAAATGAAAAACTTATTAATATTCACCTGGAAAATGAAAATATTAACTACCGGTAAATACGGTAAAAGAATGATAATGATGATGACCGCAAGGTAAAAAAAAAATTTCTCACAAAACGCAAGGCGTCAATCAATAATTCAAATAACTAAATTTCATAATGAGTCATCAATGTGGTTCATATATTAGCAAAAGCCACGCCCCCACGCATTTTAAGGTACCTTACTAATCAGGTTCCGGCCCGCCAATCCACCGCTTCTTCGCCATGTATGCGTGACCATCGGAGACTTTTTTTTTTGTGTTATTTTTCGCGTTCTTATTTAAACGCCTCATACGAAATTTAAAATAAACAAAAACAAACAAACAAACAAAAATGGCGCAAAATTTTAAACCCGTAGGAAAATCGAAGAATAAAAAAAAAAACCGAACGAGGGACCCTAGAGGAAAAAAGGAAGTATGGGTTTCTTTTTTAAAAAAAAAAAATTTATTGATTTGGTTCAATCAATCTAAAGGATCGGATTGCAATCAGGACCAGATATAATAATAATAATAATAATAATAATAATAATAAGCCAACGGCCATAGCGTGCTGGTCACACCGGTTCCCGTACGATCACCGAAGTTAAGCAGCATCGGGCGTGGTGCAAACTTGGATGGGTGACCGTCTGAGAACGCCACGTGCTGTTGGCTTAAAAGAGCAAAAAAAAAAAAAAAAAAAAAAAAAAAAAAAAAAAAAAAAAAATTGAGAACAAGACAAAGTAAGAACCAAAAAACAAATCTTGTTCTACTGTCGACCTGAGGCAGCTCGACAAGAACGTGAATTTCACTGCTTCTGACCCTGGCCACTCCAAAGATGTTAGTCCCCGGACCCCAGTTCAGGAGACAAATCGTTCCCATCGAAAAAGACGGACTCAGGAAGACCTTCAAGAATTGATGTGGTGCTATCTTATAATAAGTGGCACCACCGAAATTCGAGTATTTGTCCCTAAGGAATCGGGTAGAAACCTCGGATAAATACTTAAAAACTCCGACAAGTAGCCTTGTCGTGTTTAATGGTGGATAATAATAATAATAATGGGAGCCTAACAATTGATAACGATAATGATAATGATAGTGTGAGAGTCGTTGTTCCCTCGTTATTTACTCCGGGCTTCGAACTCGGTTATTATTCTCCTACGGTACCATACCTGAAATTAATGTAAATCAATTTAACCTGATCTCATTTTATTTCTCACGGTCCGATATAGTATATGCAAATATTAAAAAAAAAAAATCCCTCGCCAAAGATAATCATTATTATTACAATATAAATCATAAACCACGTAACAGTCAACATTTTTTTGTTTTTTTTTTTTTTTTTTTTAATCTCATCTTTACTATTAAATAAATATCTACCACATGTTAAACAACGTGTATCGTATAAAAAAAAACAAATTTCTTCTTCTTCTTCTTTTTTTTTGTAAAATTACTATTTATCTACGCGTAAATGCATATTATAAACTTTATACTGTATATATATATTATATAATTTTCAAAAACAAACAAACAAACAAACAAACGCAAACGTAAAGCAAAACAAACAAACAAAAAATTTTAAAAAAAAAGTTTTTTAAATTCCCTTCTCTCTCCCTCGTTTTTTTTTCCTTATTTATTTATTTTTTTTCGTTCTACTTGATACACTATATATATTATAATAATATAAATTTCAGTATAATATAGTTGTAAGTTGAAAATTTATTCGTACGAGTACTTGTTTTTGAAATGTGTAACAACAATGATAATAACAATGTTAAACGACGTTGTAAATTATGTCATTTAATACACAAAACGAGTTTTTTTCTTTTTTTTTTTTTTTTTTTAATAATTTTTTTCTTACTGCTCCCTTCTTATATTTATATATATTATTTTTTATTATTATTAACGACATTCATACATAAAATTACTTACATTTTACGTAATAATATAATAATATAAAAAAATATATATCGAAATATATAAAAAAAAAAAAACTTTAAAAACTTGATTTAAAAAAAAAAAATTAATTTAATTTTAATCAGAGAATAATTAAAAAAAAAATTGTTATTTATTTATTTATTAATAACTATTGAAAAGATAAATAAATACGATTTTTATGTATATAATTAATACCCCCCCTTTTTTTTTATTTTTAATTTCAATAAATTTTATTTCAATAACTTTAATAAAGTGTAACTTAACGACTTTCTCATCAATTTTCTTTTTTTTTCACTTTTTCCCATTAAAAAATGTTTATAATATCATTATTATTATTATTATTATTATTATTATTATTATTATTATTATTATTATCTTTAATAAAATTAATTTATTAATTGAATAATTAATAATTATCACTCATCGATAATAATTTTTTTTTTTTTTTTACAAATTACTGCAGGGAAAAGAAATTTTTTTTATTATTATTCAAAACGTGCCACGTTAGGTTTGGGTGAATTAAAAATTCAAACAAATCGTGTCAGAAGAAAATAAAAAAAAAAAATTGAAATGCGAGAATGGTAAAAGGTTAAAATTTTCGCGTTTAAAATAAATATTATTTTTTAAAATTACAGGAAGATCTTTTAATTCACGGTGACAGCGTGTACGACATTATCGACAAACAAGACCATCAAGCAATACAAACGGAATTAGTTAGAAATTCAAACTCACCGTCCGACGACGACAGAATGTTTTTATGCAGAATGAACGTATCTAGAAATGCAAGAAGACAAATGAGATTCGGTGATCAAAAAGTAAGTTAGTTTATCAATAACAAAAAAAAAAAATTTTCACAAAATAAAACAACAAACAAAACAAAAAATTAGAGCGGAAATAAAAAAAAATGAAAACATCTTATAGGATTATTATAAACAAGATAATAATAATAATAACATTTGGCATAATAAAATATATTTATATAAAATGAAAATCCTTCAAAAATTTTCTATTCCAGGTTTGGAGATTAAAAATAAAAATAAAAAAAAAAAAAAAACGAATTTTTAACATTTAAATCTTTTTTTTTAAACCGGTTTTTTATTTATTCTTTGTTATGTACTTTTTGAATGAACCTTTTTTTCATAACAATCAATCATTTAAAAAACAACCGAAAAATAATAATAATAATAATAATAAAGTTTGTCACACATTCGTACTGACAAACAACAACAACAACAACGTTTTTTTTTTTTTTTTTTTGCGGGTAAGGGGAAAATAATTAACTCGAAGCAAGTTTAAAATGGAGTTTTTTAACATTAAAATATAATTTAACTCGTTAATGGCTCGTTAATAACAACAACAACAATTGTGTTGTGACTCGTTTGTTTTTTTTTTATGAATTATTTCAACTAGTTCCGGGACACACACACAAATACGAAAACATGGACTTACGATCCACCGGTGTTACAAAAACACAAAATATTATTCATCGATCGTACACCATCGTGTGTTTCAGACTTGTCCGATTAACGTTTTTTCCATTATTTTTAAAAGCTTAAACATTATTTTTTAAAATTCTTATCAGTTTTACGATTATGTTTAAATTGATTTTCTTTTCTTTTATTTTATAATCATCAGGGTAGTACACGGTTTCGTTTAGTATTTTTTAATTTACTCTCTTCTTGAATGCATGCACCATATGTATGCCCCGTTGCTACGATGACAATATTATAAATTGTTTACATATATTCAAATTATCTAATAATAATTTTTATTATCATTATTATTTTAAATGTTTTGTTACCGTTTTATACACTGTGTAAACTCAACAAATTTTTTTTTTTATTTACGTTAAAGATTCTTTAAAATTTTTTTCTTTTCAAAAAGCTCAAATCCTTCAAATTCATACTCCGAACAAACAATCGAATTTTAAAGTGTTTTTTTCCTTTTTTTTTGTACGTAAAAAAATGTAACAATGATGTTGGTGGTGATGGTTGTGGTTGTAGTGGTGGCAGTCGTCGTGATTTTTCCTAATTGTTTACATCTCAGTGTGATATCCGTTGATGTATTAAAAAATGAACTAGGGTTTTTGAATTTTTTAACAGTTTCGTTATAATTATTCAAGTGAAATATATAAAGAAAAAATGTTAGAGATAAATCATTTGAAATTTGAGTAAGTGAAAAAAAATAACCAACAAACAAACATTGTGGAAAACAAAAAAAAAAAAAATTCAAGTCATTTGTATCCATCCACCTTTTTTTATTATTTAAATTGATTTATTTAACTTGTTAATTCTTTTTTTCTTCAAATTTCCTACATGTATTTATTATTATTATTATTATTTTTACTCATACTCATGACGATTCGTCTTAATGTTTGTCGGAGCTTTTTCAACATTTATTCCAGGTTTCTACCCGGTCCCTAATGAAGAAATGCCTAAATAACAGTGATGCTGCGTCTTTGAATAGGTTTTCATCTTTTACAACATAAACAGCACCATATCAATTCTTGTAATTCTTCCTAAAACCATCTTATTCGATGGGAGCAAGTTAATTCCTGTATTGGGCTCCAGTGACTAACATCTGTAGAGTGGCCAGGAACAGGAGAAGTGAGATTTGTCAACCTTGTCTAACTGACTCTAGTTGACAAGATAAAACAAGATTTGTTTTGTCTTTATTTTGTTCTCATTTTGCTCTATTACAATTATGAATAAGTCATTATTATCTTTAATTAATTTCTTAAGTACACCCACTAAAAGAATATATTTTTTCTTTAAATACTATTTCAATACTTAATTTTCCTACTATATCCCCATTTCATAATTTTCCCTCATGCATTTCATCTGTAATGTATGCACACAGCATACAAATTACAATTTTGTACCTATAAACTTAAACAATGTCAAGACAGTTGTATTTTTCTAATGTTAATTCAAATTAAAAGAGAATTTTACACTAAACATGTGGCAAAATATGTTATACTGAAACAAACTAATTTAAGAAAAGGGTTACAATAATGTACAATCAATATACATTCACACTTAAAAAAGGAGTACAAACATTTTATATGCACCTTCTTATATTAAACTAATTAATAATAAGTATTTTTATTAAACTACCTCCATTTTTAAACTACCATTTTATTGAACTATCTCCATTGTGGCAAAGGTACTTAGCTCAACTACTTATAATCAGCTCAAGAGAAGCACAATTGTTAAATGGAATCTATGGTGTTTTTTCATAATTCCTTGCACTAAAATGATTTAATAGAAAAGCAACTAATTTTTCCTGATTTTTATATACATTACATTACATTACATGATAACCTATGTTGCATTAAAACAAAATAATTTAAGAGGAAGGTTGAAATAATATACTTCAGTAGATTCATACTTAAAATCAGAAGTACAAATATTTTACATCCACCTGATACAATAATTAATAATAATTATTTTTATTAAACTACCTCTATTTTTATTTAGTGTGGCAGAAGGTATTTAGCTCAACAACTCATAGTCAGTTTAATAGGTGTAAAATTATTAAATGAAGTTTGTTGTGCCTATTCATAATTCCTTACACCAAAATCAATTTTTCTATAGTCCACTAATTTTTCCTGATTTTGATACAGATTTATGAAAGTATTACACTATCAATAGTAATAAACTATGTTGTAATGAGACAAAGTAACTCAACAAAAGTCCTAAAACAATGTACAATCTTAACACTTGAAAATAGGGGTATAGAAATTTTACACTAAACATAAGGCAAAATATGTTATAATGAAACAAACTAACTTAAGAAAAGGGTTAAAGTAATGTACAATTACTGGATTCACACTTAAAGATACAAATGATTTGATGCCCACCTGATACAATGAATTAATTATATCAATAAGTATTTTTAATGAACTACCTCTGTTTTCATTTAGTGTGACTATTTTTAATTTAGTTTATGACTGAGGTATTTAGCTCAACCACTAATAATCAGCTCAATAAGTGTAAAATTATTAAATGAAGTTCTTACACTATAACCAATTCCACCATGATTCCTTACACTAAAATCAATCTAGCTGTAAGCTACCAATTTCTCCTGATTTTCATACAGATTTATAGGGTGTATTGTACTATATCTATGATAAACAATGTTGTAATGGGACAAACTAACCTAACAAAAGGGTTAAAACAAACTACAATCAGTACATTAACACTTACAAATAGGAGTATAGAAATTTTACACTGAGTTAACATACCAAATCAATTATTAATAATTATTATTATTAAATTACTCCAATCCTTGTTTTTTATGATGAGATGAAAAAGATACTTAGTTAATTTTAGTTTAATTTTGTTAACCAAATTAATGCAGAATTTGAAACTTTTTTTTTTGGGTATTTGCTCTAATTTTTTGTTAACCTAACCTTTTTTGCAAGTGAAATTAAAGTATTAAAATGAGGTACTTACCCATTATAATTACATATATTAAGCAATCTTCTGAGGTTTTTTATTGCCCACGCTTCCATTTGTCACATGAAACCGTACACTACTTGTAAATTTGAACTTAAAATAATATAATTATCACTAAATAATATAAAAAACTAATTATATCACAATAAACTACACTAAATCACAAAACTTTTGATATATAATTTATAACTAAAACTAATAAATAAAACTATTAAAATTAATTAAATAAATCGGCATGAGGTAAACGCGTGTGTCAACCGTTCCACTCCCGCGCCATCTTTTTTTTTTTAATTCTAATTATTGCCGTCATTATTATAATTATTTTTATTGTTTTAAATTATTAAACAAATTTTTTTCTTAATTCATTATATGATCGTTTTAATTTTTTGATGAATGAATATTATTATAGGTTTTTCAAAATAAATTTATTTTATTATTATATAAATATTATTTTATTTTTATTAAATTTTTGATAAATGATAATAAAAAAAAAAAAACAGGAATCCAAAAATTATTATTATTATTATTATTTTCTAATGAGTTCATACGGAACTGATCTGACTTAAGTGAAATGCGATTATTATTAAAAATAGAAGAAAAAAAAAACAAGAAAAACAAAATTTCAAATCAAATTTACGATTAAATCAATAATTATAGATTTATTTATTGGTTCTAATGGTGTTAAATCAATAATAATAATAATAATAATAATAATTAAATGAATAATATTATATAAAAGGTGTAAAATTCGATTCGATTTTAAATAAATTAATATGAATGTAAGTTATTATTATGAAATGATTAACTTATGCGAATACAAATTTCTTTTTTTTTTTTTTTAATTAAAAGCCGACCGAAAGAATTAAATTTTATATATATATTTAAAAGGAAAAATAAAATTTAATAAATCACAACAAAAACTATCATTAATCGGAAATTATTGCCAAATAAAATTTTTTAAAGATTAGGAAATTAAGGCTAAGCAAATAAGAGACTCACGCTACATTATATGATTTATATAAATCGAAACGAGTATCAAAAAAAAAAATCGAATCGAATCGATTTATCGAAGTAAGAATTACGATGGGGAAAGAGAGAGAAAGAGAGAAAAAAGAAATACGTTACGGAAAAAAGAAAAGAAAACAAACCGTAAATGATTTTTGTTTTTTTATTTTTTTAAGTTTGAAAATTTTTTTTGGGTTAATTATTATAAGAAAACCTAAAATTATTATAAGTTAAACGTGTAACTATACGTTTTTTTTATTTTTGAAATTTTCTCACGGTGAGATTTGATAGGGGAAAAAAAAATATACGTATGTCGTTTATATATTGTCGTTTTTGTTTTTCTTTTCTCTGTCGAAAAAAAATATCTTGAAGTGATTCGATTTATCGATATATTTTGTATTCGATAATAATTGATTTCCTTTTTTTTTTGGGGGGGGTTTTCGTACGCAAATTATGTTTACATATCGTACTTATTGTTTTTCTTATATTTTCCTTATTTTTCTCTTGTTATCAGGTCGTACTTGTCCAGGGTCATTATTTATCATTCTTGCCGCTTTGTAGCAGAAACGAACCTGTGTTCCTAGCCACATGCACACCAGTTGCAATGCCCGAAACGAGAGAATGCGTCGTACAGGGTGCGACAAACGTATTCACGTCAATACATTCAATGGATATGAAATTCATACACATAGATAAAAAGTAAGTCAATTTTTTTTTTTAATTTTATAATTTTAAATTATTTATTTATAAAACGCATTACGATTATTTTTATTTATTTTGGGTGTCATTAATAAAAAAATAATAATAATAATTTTAATACATTCGATAAATTTGACCCTGTCTTTTTCTCTCTCTTTCTCTCTGAATATTTAGAATCACATCACGTTTTTCATTTATTTTGCATTTTGAAATTTTTTTTTTTTTGTCAACCACTTTAATAATAAGTCTGGTTTTTTGGGTAATGAAGATTAAGAACCGGAATTTGATTTTCTCCAAAAGGTCCACCAGTCTAAGGCCTAATCTTTTTTTTGTAACAAGGTAACTTTTCGGTCCTTGTCTTAAATCGTGCGGAATAAACCAAGAGCCGTGCCTGCCGGTCGATATACGATGACGACGGGGATAATGAAACAACGCAACACTTGCAAACATACACAAATAATAATAATAATAAATTCGTTATATACGAATCAAATAATGATAATAATAACTTGTCACAATAATTTTGTTAAGTTGGCGTCAATGATATTTTTAACCTTAAAAAAAAAAAAAATTTTATTTTTTCCTTTTTGTGTTTGAGAGGAGCCATTAAAAATGAATATTTAAATACCTGATTTATTGTCATTGAGATATTTTAAAATTTATAATCGCGTTATTAATTATTGGCAAAATTTATTTAAACAACAACAATAATAATAATAATATCGAATTTATTTAAAAAATGACGTAATCGACATAGGTTTTTGCAAAAAAAATACGGGAAAATTTTTTTTTTAGAATTTTAATAAAACAATCAGGAATGATTTATTATTATTATTATTTTTTAAACAAATCAATCCGAAACAAAATAGTTTTTTTTGGGGGGAGCAGTAGGGGGATCATATCAAATTCGAGAGTAAATTTTTTGCCAAATGAAAGACAGAAATAATTTAAAAAAAAAAAAGCTATTTACTAAATGGAAACCCGTCGCCATGTCAAAGTAACATTTTCAAATCTACTCTCCTGTCTCTCCTCAAAGAACTTAAAAGGGATTAATGAACTTCTCACTTCTTAACAAAAAAAAAAATAATAATAATAATAATTTTTTTGAAGGATGATAGGTGGGCCTAAGAAATCTGAGAGACCCGATATCGGTCTCCCCCCTCCCCGAAAAAAAAAAAAAAAGAATCAAAAAAAAAACATGGTTTAGTCGTTAACTAACGGCTACTTTGCATTTTAAAAATTCTAATTTAACATCTTTTTATCTGAATTTAACATGGTTGACGACGATCTTTGTTTCCAGTAAAATTATTATTAAAAAAAAAACAAGAACGATTACAAGTTAATGTAGTTTTGGTAAATCTCTCTCTCTCTCTCTGTCAATTGCATTTTTATATTTTTTTTTTTACTGGGCCAAGACGTCTGAGTGAGAAGGGGAGGGGGGTAAGAGGGTGAGAAAAGCCCTTTGTTCGGCAAACAAGTTAACATTGATCGTTGACCGAAAAAAAAATTATTATTATTATTATTTTGTGTTTTTTTTTTTCGCGACGAAAAGTCGTTTTAGATATAAAAAACACGTTTATATTAAATAATACTGATAAGAGATAATAATTATTTGTCTGGATGTCATTTGCCCACCGTGTTGAATCGATTACAACACACACACACACACTTAAATCCTCTTTCATGTTGATGATGATGATGATGATTTTACCTTTGTAAACAATGTCCACAAAAAAAAAAAAAAAACTGTCAGAACGCGTTTATGTTTAACGTCCGAAAAGGCGTTGGAGAGGAAATAATGGGAAAATGGGGGAACGGAACAGAGAAGTGAGGAAAGGTCGAGGTAGGAGGGGATCTGGGGGGAAGGGGAGGGAGAAGAAAATGAATTTTTAATTATTTATTTAATATTATAAAACGGTTAAAATGTGGACGATTCGAACGTTTGGGTTTAGTATTCAGTTATCGATAATTGTTACACAATTGAAAAGCCGAATGAGAAACAAACAAAAATATTATTATTATTATTATTATTATTATTTTGGTTTTTTTTAGTATTCATAATGCGAAGACAAATAGATATTGAATAAAAATAAAGAAGGATAAAAATAAAATAAATAAATTTTAGTCGTGAAAAAGAAAAAAAAAAAATTTTATGTTTGTAACGGGATTTGAAACGTGCGTCCTTGAGATCCTCCTGATAATCGAAAAAAATTTTTTTTTTTTTTTTTTACGTGATGCAGAAACCGTCATAATAAGTCATCATAAAAGAAAAAAACAAACCATCATCGTTGAGGATCCCAGAAAAAAAAAAAAAAAGGATTTTTTCCCCCGACTGAAGCAAACTTATTCCAAAAAAAAAAAAACATACCGGAAAACTTTTAAAGGAAAATTTTAAATCTGTCGGAAAACTAAACATTTAAAACTTTGGGAAATCAAAAGAAAAAAAAAAAGTTTTCCGAGTCAGATTAAAGATCACATTTATTAGTAATTTATATAATTTTGCAATTGAAAAAAAAAAAAAAAAAAAAACAAAAATTCCTTGAACACAAATCCTTAATTATTAGGTACGGTGAAAAAATTACCAATATATTACTCCAACTCTTTCTCTCTCCCCTCTCTCTTTTTCAATGTTTCTCGTTCGATTTCACAATCTTGCGTTCGAACAAAATTGAAAATTTTATCAAAATTTTTTAAAATGTCGCTAATAACCACTTTACCCTCGGTTTTTAATTAAAAGTTTTTAAAATAACGATGCGCACGGTGTATGAGTGCGGGTGTGTGCGTGTGGACGCAGAACTAAAAACGAACGAACCTGTGTGTACAGGCATATATGACAAGATAATCGTAATAAGAGACGAATGATTTATAAATGTAAACCTGGAATCCCCACGACCTCATGGCTCTATGGATGGACCAACTCTCTCTCTCTCTCTCTCTCTCACTTCGTGGCAAGTAGATCACCATCCTCGGTGGCCGCGAGTTCTCAACCTCCTAAAGAAAATCTCACGACAATTCATTTTTCCATCGTCCTTGTTAAACCTCTTTTACTTCTCTCTCTCTCTCTCTTTCTCTCCCATCTTTTTTTTTCTTTGCTTTTTAAATTATGAACCTTATAACGCGATGTAATAAATCAATTTTTTTTTTTTTTGTTTAAATTTGTTATTATATTAATTTGTGTTTTCACGTTGTTGTTGTTTGTTGTTTGTTGTGGGTAAGAAATTTCTATGTGACAGATTAAAATCACAAACGAAAAAAAAAAAACTTAATTTAATGAATGAATGAATGAATGGACGACGTGAATTTTTGTGTGAATGAAATAAAAAAAAAAATCGATTTTTTTTTCGAGAAAAAAAAAATTTATTGATTGAGGCGTGAGTGACAAAGTTAATTATCGATCGATACGAAGTTTAAATTGATGTTCGATATAATATTTCCATCATTTTCTAATTATACACTCATGTATTTGAACCTAATGATAGGTTTCGAAGTAGGAAAAAAAAAAATAAAAATAAAACCATGAGATTTTTTTTCTTACATTCAATTATCTTAATTAATAATAATATGACCCGTGTGCACACACACACAACAACCGTCGTTCCATCGTGTAAACAAAACAAAGTATTTATTTTCTTCTGCTTTTTTTTTGCGACACGTGACGTAGTCGTAAAATGATGAACGTGAAAACCGTAGTTAACATACCTGAATGCACGGTGCGTAACACAAAAAAAATGTCGGCGAATTTACCGGAAAAAAAAATCGTCGTACTCATGGTAATAATAATAATAATAATAATAATAATAATAATAATTTTTTCTCATGGAAAATATTTTTAAAAAAATGGCGGAAAATTATGGCGACGATCAAATTATAAAAATTTAATTTAAATTATAAAAATTATTCAAACGATCGTTATTTATTTATTTATTTTATATTATACAAAAATAAAAAAAAAATGTTTTTTATTTTCGTATCCGTTTCCGGTTTCTTTTATTTAAAAAAACGCGCATTTTTTTATAATTTTATTCGTTCGTACGAGTGTGAATTTTCCGTCGTATTTCGCATACGCGTTCATATTTTCATTTATTTTTAAATATGTCCGCCTACTTTTTTTTTTTTTTTTATTTCTCGAAAACATTTTCGAAACCTTTTTCCTTTTATTTTTTTCCTTTTAGTTTTATTATTTATTATTATTTATCTGATTAATTTTTCTAACCGGTATTGATTGATCTCAATACTAAAAAAAAAAAAATGGAAAAAAAAACAAAATGGAAGAAAATGAAAAAAAAAATAAAAATAAAAAATAATTTTTTTTTTTAAAGCGAAAATAAAATAAAAAAAACACGATTAAAAACTATTAATAATAATAATAATAATAATAATAATATTGATTATTATCGATCCATGAATTTATTTTTGTTGTTGTTTCGGTTGTTTTGGTTGTTGTGGAAAGTCTTTAACACACACACACACGACTTATTAACACTTTTAATTTTGTGTTATATATAATAAATAAGTAATTTAAATGGGGGGACGGGAAGGGTCGAGGGGAGACGGAGGGAGAAGGGGGGAAATTTGTTTTTTAATGACTTGTTTGATTGTTTGTTAATTATTATTATTTTTTTTCCTTTCATCTTTTGCAAAAGCTAAACAGGAGAGGAAAAAATTCAGGTACGCATGTAATCTACGTTTGTTAATATTTTTTTTTTTTTAAGCGTAATAAAATCTTAATTGTTTTTTTTTTTTCTATTTGACTTTTCGTACCATTAATAATAATAATGATGATGATAATAATAATAATAACATATTTCACGGTCGTTTTTTTAAAAAAAAAAAAAAAATAGTTTGGGAAAAGGAAAAAATTAGATTTTTGTTTATTTTTAAAATTGGAAAATATGATTTTCGGTTGCACGATTTTTCTAGAATTTTCAGATGAAAAGATCATTGAGATCACATAGATGAAATAGATAATTTTATGGTCGAGTAACGAGATCAAAAGGTCATACGGTTGTTTGAGGGTCATGCCCGTAGCCAATTTCTCTCCCTTTTTATACGTTACTTTATATTATTTATCATTTTTACGTTTGTTTGTTTGTTTGTTTTCCTTTGCTAAAATGATTTCTTTGTCAAACCCTTTCATAATAATAATAATAATATTTACATAAAGTTCGTATCAAACGAAAGGAAACAAAATTTTGTTTAATTGTTTTATGTTGACTTCCTCCCACGAAAAACAAAATAAAAGAAAATTTTTATTCGATTTCCGTTTGTTTCCATTTTGTTTTTTGTTTTTATAAAACAAATTTTGAAAAAAAAAATTTAGTAAATATGTACGTGTTTTGAAAAAGATGTCATATTCGTGAATGTTTTCGTTGTTTTTTTTTTTTTCCAAAACCTTCCTCTTGTTCTTCGGACAATTGTTTTTGTTTTATTTATTGTTTGTTAAAATTTTTTGATTGTTTCATTTGTTATCCGTGAATCCATCAATCTAACGTTTTATATATATTTATTATTTATGAATTATTAATATGTCGTCGTAGTGAAAACAAACATTAATTTCATTACAATTGATATTAAAAAAAAAAAAAAACATATCTTTTGTTAGAAAAAAAAAAAGAAAACTTGTTTGTTTCCGTTTATTAATATTGCCACGTTTACGATTAATAAATCGATTATCGGTACTTTTAATATTGATAATTTTGAATGAATATAAATATTATATTTATGACACGTCAAATTTTTTAATACCACGACATGTTGGAAATTGACGAAAAACTTTTTTTTTATTCGCAGCGGAGAATTTCATTTAGGATTTCCCAGACCTGAATTACAGGGAGCTTCGTGGTATCATCTTTTACATTGGGATTGTATGAGAGAAGCACAAAGCAAACATAGATTAAGTAAGTAATTGATTAATCCTTTTTTTAACGACAACCTTAAAAAAGAAAAAAAACACTCGAATGTTTTGTTTGTTTGTTTTGAAAACAGTTACACAATCAGAACAAGATAGATCTTGCATTTTGTTACTTAGACTGCAAAAAAGAACAGGAGATTGGTTGTGGGTTCATTGCGTCCTTCAGGTTAAAGATAATATGGAAAACAGTCAACAGCCGGTTATTGTTTGTACAAATCAAGTTTTAAGGTAATTTTTTTTTTTTTAATTTGATTTATAGAATTTCTTTTTTAATAAAACTTATGATTTATTTACTTTTTTTTGACGTTTTCGAAAAAGCAAACGAACGGTGTCGTACAAACGAAATTTGTTTTTTTTTTTAAATTACGTAAAACGAAATCGTAACACTCACGAAATAAAAAATTATGTCATTTTGTTTGTTGTTTGTTTGAAGTTGAAAACGACAAAAAAATTTTCCTAAATCGTGAAGTTTTAATTTTTATAAAAAAAAAAAAAAGGGTGAGGTTAAAAAAATTAATTGTGGGAGTTAAAGTTCCTGAGAAATCAATTAACAACCTTACATTGCTTAGTAGTTTTACCTATTTTCAGGGAGGTATATATAGCATGCGAACCTTATTAGAACGTGGTCGAAAATAAACTAGTTCATTTGTGACAAGGCCAATATTTAATATTTCCCACCCCGGCACTAAATAGAAAATAAATTAAACCACTTAGAATGATAAATATTAAAAAGTTTGAAATATAAAACGTTTTTTTCTTTTTGGGTTAAACTTTTCTTTTCTTTTTGGGTTAAACTTTTCTTTTCTTTTTGTTGTTAAATTTCAATTTTTTTTATTATCTTTTCGCAGTGACAAAGAGGCTGCGGTAATGTTAACAAATGGCTGGCTTTATCATTATTACATGGTACAAAGTAAGCTTCAATATGGACTCGCGTACGAAGCAGCAGCAGCGACGAGAATGGCTGCTGCAGCTGCTTATTATCATCCTCATTCCCAACATCCTCAATCCATAGGAACATATCCTCATCACATTGGCCATCAACATTTGGAATCTTCTCATCATCATCATCATCATCATTCTTATTTACAACATCAAATATCGTCATCACCTTCCATGCAAAACCTTCACAATCACAGTCATAACGGATCGACTCCTCCTCACCATCAAATGCATCACAGTCCTAACGAAAATCATAATTCTACTTCCGGTTACATTCTTCCCCATAACTCATCTAATTTTAAACAAGAAAGATTAGATCCGGATGCGACGCCGGTTGATTATTCCGTACATTCGCAGTCCGAAATACAAAACAGATCAAATATCACGGATCATTATCATCAGGATCATAATCAAAATCACATAAATCACGACGAAAACAGATCACCCCCGGTAATTCAACATACGTCGCACAAGAGAAGATCGGTTAAATTAGAAAATGTAAAAAACGAAAGTTCTCCGAGAGTGTCACCGAATTCGGAAATAATTGTCGATTTAGATAGAAACGGAAGCGGAATGTACACGAGTGGAAATGGAGGAGTAGGAGGAGGAGGTGGTGGAGCTTTAATGTTAGCGGCGACGCCGGTTCCTTTACACTCTTTTGTGAGACCACGAGTACTCATAAAGGGAGGAATGGTAGACCCCGCAGAATTTATGGAACAATGGAATCCGAGTCCTCCGTGGAGCGACACCACCGTTCAAAAAGTTCCGGATATCATTCATCAAGATCTCAGCCCCTACGTGACTACCACGCCGCCGACACCGACTGGAACTCCTTCGAGCCTTTCGGTCGGAAGTTTGTCTCATCAACCACCTCATTCGGCATTTTCATTTGACTGGGCGCCCGAACAATACGTGCCTACTTTACAACACCCTAGGGCGGTACCTTTGGCGGACGAAGAGCAAAATATGAATTCATCGTGGCCTTCAGAGCATAGACTGTTTCCCCTTCAGCCTCCTCCTCCGCCACGATTATTACAACCACCGCCACCATCATCCGTACTAAAAATGGAACAGGAAACGGATTCATCATCGAGGAAAGGTATTATATTTTTTCTTTCTAAACATTTTACCGCCATATTTAAATAACGTAACTTATTAATTTTTTTTTTAAAAAATGTTTCAGATGGTATTCGAGATAGAAGAGAAAATCTATGATATTAAATCATGAGAATAACTTTGTATGGCATATTGTCAGTCAAATAAACTGTGATCGTTAAATAAAGTTAAATTATTATTAATCATTTTAACTTTTTTTTTTTTAATTGTAATTGTAATTTAATTTAAACTTTCATTAGCCGCGGCCTTACCGGAAATACATATATATTTTCTTATGTAAAAAATAAATAAATAAATTTTTGTGTGTGTAAAATTTAGTGCAATAATTTTTATTATTATTATTATTATTTCGTTGACTGAAACGAATTATGAACGAATTCAAATGTATATTTTATTAAACAAAATAAATTGTTTAAAAATAAATAAATAAAACAAATTTTTTTTTTTTTAAATTAAAATTTTATTTTTTTTTAAATACAAATCCAAAACATTTTTTTTTACTGGCATTCGCTTTCGGATTCTTCGACTTTTCTCGCCCAAATCGGTGGATATGAAGCAAATGTTAAATATCCGGTGTGTCCCGGAGTTGTTATCGGTGGTATCCCAACCGTTGATTTAATCCCTTCTAATTTTTTAGCTTTTTCATTTTTACCCCCACCGCCACCACCACCACCACCGCAATCCTGAAACGAAAATTATATACACAAACACACATACACACACATTTATCAATTATTTTATCGTGGCGGTAGTCCAAAAAAAAAAAAAAATCATTTCGGTCGGTTTATTTACCAAAACAAAAAAAAAGTGTCAAAATTAATAATATTCGAAAAAAAAAAAAAAAATTTAACCCGAGGACACAAAAAACGTGAAAAATCAAGATAACCCGAAATGTGTTAAAAACCCCCCAAAAAAAACAAACTGATGATGATAATAATTTTTTTTTTTTTTTTTTTTATAAACGGATTTTTCAAAACGTCAATGAGAGATGTAAAGATATATATATTTAATAAATATTAATTTAACGTGTCCAAAACATTCAACAAATTCAACAACGTCTTTAAAACCGTTCATTTAACGGGGGGGAGGAAGAGGGGGAAGGGGGGAAACAGAAAACATCATCCGATAATTTATTGACGTTTGAACGTTGAAATTAAAAAAAAAAAAACTAAAAATTAGTAAGCAATCGAACTAAATCTTCCAACTCGAGAACAAATAAACAAAAAAAAAAAAACATAAATAAAAAACCTGACGATTAAAAAAAAAACAATTATTTATTTTATTTACGCAATCAAATTATACCTTATACCTTGGAAAAAACAAAAACAAACCCATGTGGAGACGACGACGACGATGACGATGACGTCAACGACGGTCAACAAAACAAAAAAAAAAAAAAATCGTCTGAATACGAAATCGATCGACAAGCTATCAAGCTAAGAGAGAGAGAGAGGAAAAAAAAGCAATAATAATTTACTCGTGTGTCGGTTCCGGTTCTTTTCACAGAGAGAGATAGAGAAAGAAAATATGACGGAATGACACTCAAAGACAGGAAACATGACAAACGTAAAAAAAAAAAAAGAAAACACCGAGATAAATATCGACCGCCTGGGTGTCACATTTCCATAATCGAATACGCACGCACATGCGTCACCATGCCGTACGCCGTTTTTAGGACTCGACTTTTTTTTTTTCTGTCAAAATAATCGCGTTGCTCGCGGCTCGTCGTGTCACTAGAACCCGATCGGAGAGAAGGGAAGCCACCTAACCGTGGTTTGGTTAATAGGATAAAGTAAGATGAGGAAGATTCCAAAGCGTTCCTTTTCTTTTTCTGTCTTTCCCTCCTTCACGTAATCAAGTACCCCCCTCTCTCTCTCTCTCTCTACCCTCTTTGCTCAAATCGTCATTAAAATGATGGTACAACACAAAAACCAATAATAATAATAATAATAACCCTTTTTCTTTCTATCTCTGTGTGGACATGACGAAATTCCACAGATGTAAGATAATGACTGAAATATTAGTCCGCAACGACCCAATATAATAATAATAACAATAATAATAATAAATTATTATTTATAGAGCGGGTGGATATATAGATCGGGAGTGCGATAGAATTTTAGGCGCGTTCGATACATCTCGCCTAAACCACACATTCGACGCTTGAAAGTAAAAAAAAAAAAAAAAAAAAAATTGAATTTTCCCTTTACCCCACCTTACCCCATCCTCACCCTTTCCTTCTTTTTCCTCGCATCTCTCTCTCACTCTCGTCCATCATACCTTTTCCCTACTGATTTTTCCGGGGCGTCTGACTTTTCTCTCTCGACACCTGGAAAATTTTCCATATCGTTTGCATTATAGTAAGTAAACTGGAGAAATCGAATAAACCTAAACGCCGGTACCAACATCGGAGCAATTGTTATTATTATCAACAAATATTATTACCGGCCATGTTCTCGGACTCTTCAAAACGAGGAGGGCCTAATCAAAATGTAATGATGGTATTTTAAAGGAATTCCGATCCGCCCACGCAGGTCAAGGGCGAGTATGACGAATGAAACGAGAAAAAATGTCTTCCACCCTCATAATTTTTTTTTTTTTTTTACGAACGAAAACGAACCTGAAATTATTATCCAAAGGTCCAACCTTTTTATTACCATCATCGAGTACTTATGTACGTTGACATAATTTACTTCTTCGCGACGCGTGCGTGCGTCACCGAATTTTCTTAAAGATATTAAAAAAAAAAAAAATTTGATAAAGAATACTTTAATGTAAGAAAGGTTGAGATGATACCAGAGGGGTTATGAGGAAGGTGACATATGGGTTGTTGTTCGGATCCTTCATAAATTAAAAAAAAAAAAAAAAAAACCCTTAATTACCGGTTAGGATCGAGAGGTTCGAAAGCGCTCGCGCACACACACAAAATAAACATGGACGGAAACGATTTGACGAGATCATTCGATTAATCGACTTCAAGGACGATCACTAACCGAGATCATCCCCGAAATTTAAAAAAAAAAAAAAAAGAAAAAAAAAAAATTGTAATTTGAAAAGTTGAAAAGGCCTCGGGGGCCTCTAGGGCGGCCGGCTGGAAATGTTAACCCGAAGCCAGTAACTAGCAGGTTGAGATTTTTATGATTATGAAATGAAATGTTGTTGTTATGAAAAATTTCATATTGTACGCGACGAAACGAACAAACGACCGGGAACAAACAACACGCGTTCTCATTATTATTATTATTATTATTATTATTTTTTTGGAGTCGTAAATATAACTGGAGGTTGTTTTGTTTTGGTACAACGACGACGACGACGACGACAGAACGACTGCCAACTACATTTTAAACAAACATAATCCAAAATTAAGTTTTTTTTTAAACAAATTCGTGCAAACCAAAAAAAAAAACCGCTCGCTGTTAAAACAAAATAAAAAAAAAAAAAAAAACAAAGAAAAGCAAACACTTCCGACATTTTAAATATTAACAATAATAATAATAATAATAATAATAATAATAAGGCGTTAAAAAAAAAAAAGAAAAAAAACCGTGAACAGATTACGTTTAACGATATTTTAAAAATTCATTTGTATGCCGGCCGAATAATTCGCAGGGGCCGCCGCCGCCGTCGTGCAATGCAACAAACAACAAACAACAACAACAACAACAAACACCAACCTATGATTCTTCCAACGTTTTCCAAAACGAAAGCTCAAACGCATTCCACGGCGTAAACGCCGAAAGGTTTCGAAACTAAATTAAATAATAATTTTTATCCTTATCTCTTACTTTTTTACAAAAGAAAAAAAATTCAAACTCCAATTTTTTAAAAAACATAAATACCGGGGCGGATCCAATCGGGGAGGCTGTGCCCAAAGATCTTATTTGATTTGAATTGATGAGCCCGAGTTCAAATTAGTGGGAACCGCATTCGAATTCTCTCATTATCACCAAGATGGATGACTCAGGTTTTCGCAACTTTTTCTTCTCCTCCTTCTCCTTCCCGGTTTGTATATCGAAATCAAATCGCGGGGGGCTCGCATTCGGAGAGAGAGAGGGGGCGCGCGCGTTTCTTCGAGGAAAATTTCTGGAATTTCTTTTTTCTTTTTTTTTTTCTCTCTCGAACAAACAACAATCAGATAACAACAAAGTTTCTAGTATGATACACGAAACATTCGATTCGGTGGGGTGGGATGGAATGGGGGGATCGGGGATGAGTTATTCGATTTTCCCGCAGATTTTTTTTTTTTTCTCTCCAGCCAATTTTCCACGACGACGACGAAATTATTATTATTCACATCCTACCATCACGCGTTTGCCATTAATTTAAAAATTTACGAGGTGGTGATGATGAAAATTTTTACTTTTTCCCCTCCGTTCTCTAGGTTTTTGCCTCCCCTCCCCCCTCACCCGTAGGTGTCATAACCGTTTAATGCGTTTGTCGGCGACGTTGAAGCCCTCGAGTGTTATTGATTTTTTTTTTTTTTTTTTAATTAATTGGTAATTAAGATGTTTGAGTTTTTTTTTTTTTTTACTCTTTTCTCCTTTCTTATTTTTTTTTTTTTTTAAGAAATATTTTCCGGGCCGAATAAAAAAAACTAGTTTAACAACTTTTCTCCTCCATAACAAACACACACTAACGCAACACGCACGCACTCACACGCAAAAAAAGATTTTTCGAAAAAAAAAAAAAAAAAAGAAACGCAATTAAATAAAATCCGCCGATTCGAATTTTTTTTTTTTTTCGAGGTACGAAATGGCGGGAAAAACGCCCGCCGATGATTTTTTTTTTTTTTTTTTTTTTTTTTTTTTTTTAAAAATAAATCGAAGAATTTTTTTTTTTTTTTTAAAGTTTTCTTATCAGATAAAATAAAATAAAATTTATATGTGCGTGTGTGCGTGTGCGTGTGTATATACAAACTATTAACAAGAATAATTATTGCAGTGCCGTGACGCATAGGCGCGGTGATCACATGTAGATTACTTTGCCGTTTGTTAAGGGGGCCCACCCATCAATTTGTTTAAAAAAACCGAAGGCCGAAGAAATAAGTTATTAGAAAAGATCGGTATCCGTGTGAAAATTGAAAGGCATGAACGACCATCTCATCTTTTTCACCTCCCAATGTTTTTTTCTCACTTTTTTTTTTTTTTTTTTTTTTTGTTACAACACACGCGCGTAAATCCGTGTATTTTAAACGCGTCGTACGCGGATGTGTTACGCACTCGCACACGCACACGCACGCACGCACTTTTCCACGGGTTTTCCATTTTTCAAATTAATTTTTACCCGGTTCCGAGAATGAGAAGAAATTTTTTTTTTTTTTTTTACACCGGAAAACCTCCTCATTAGAAATATTTCAGCGAATTTCGCCATTTTTTTCAATTAAAATTTTAAAAGGAGGGAGGGGAGGAAAACACTCGCACGCACATTCGGCTCCGAATTCGAACGCGAAACAAATATTACAAAAAATCGACGTTTAAAAAAATAATAATGATGATTATGATGATGATGATGAAATACGGTCGACCCCCGGGGGCGACCCGAGTCGGCGGCTTTCTTTGTGTTCTTCCCTTTCTCCCCTCTCGCTCTCCCCCCTCCTAATTAATAAAATTTCCGATAGAATAAATAATAATAATAACAAAAAAAAAATTAGCGATCGAAATATATTTTTATTAATAATTTTCCGACGCGAACCAAAAAATAAAAATAAAAAATTTGTTTTATTTAATTTAAACCGGTTGTTTTTAATGTAATACCGCGGCGACGACCTCATTTCATTTTTTCTTTGCCAAAAAACAAACAAACAAACAAACAAACGAACAAACGAGCCGAAATGCTACGAATTTTTTTTTTCTTTTTTTTTTATCCAGAAATAATTACTCGACAACCAAATAAATTCCGATTTTTTATGAATCCGAAAGAAATGAAACGTTTTTAATCTTTTCTACATCATCCTAATCATTATTATTATTATTATCGATACTAATAGCGTAGCTCCTATTGCAGTAGTAATAGTTGTTGTTGTTGTTGTCGTTGTCGTAGCAGTAGTAGTAGTAAAAGTAGTAGTCAAACAACCAACAAACACTTTTTTAATTCTTTTTTTTATAATTTAAAAATTACGAGTCTGAAAAAATTCCGTCATTTGAACAAAAAAAAAAAAAAAAAAAAAAATTCTGACATAAAAAACAACTTAAAAGTCGTCGTCGTCGTCGTTGTTGTTGTGGTTGTTGCGGTTGTTGTTGTTGTTGTTGTTGTTAATATTAAAATATAATATATTAATGAAGAATTAAAAATGGATCCCCGAAAAATTTTGAAATGTGATAACTTGAATTAATTATTAGAAAAGACGTTTTCTTTTCATTTTCTTTTTCTTTTTTAATAAATCCGGCATTAAACCGCGTCACGTGTCCAAAATTTCAAATTTCAAATAAAATTTTTTTTTTTTTTTTTACTTTATTTTTCAAGGTACGAAAAAGTAATCAAATCGAAAAGAAAAAAATTCCAGGTGCGAAACGTTCACGAGTTTCATAGAGAGAGACAAAAAAAAATTACTACTACTACTACTACTACTACCACTACAACTACAACTACTACTGCCACTACTACTACTACTACTTTACCAAAAACTCCTTTCATTTACCCTCCCTTTTACCCTCGAGGTGATGGTGATGGTGGTGGCGGTACCCGTTCGAAAGAAACGTTAGGAACGTTTGTGTCATTTCGAAACTTTCTCCTTCAATTTTTTTCAAATAGTTTTCGAAAGTGTTGTGTGCGAGATTTTTAAACGTTAAAGAAAACAAAGAAAAAGAAAGGAAAAAAATTTTTTTTCTTCTAAGCTTTTAGAGATTAAGAGATTAATAAAAAAAAAAAATTTTTTTCTTCCACTTTTTTTTTTTTTTTTTTTTTTTTTAAATTCCTTTAATAGTCCTGCCTTTCGGCAAAAAACGAAAAAAAAGAAAAGAAATTTATTCGTGTGTTTTTGTCGAAGAATCGGCATAAAATATGGTGAAAACAGGCGTGAAAATTAAAAAAAAAAATATACATATAATGCGCGAACCTGAAATTTCTCAATTTGAAATATTATTTAAAAAAAAAAATGGGGGGGGCCTCCGGGAGGGGGAAGAGAGCTACGAAGAGGAAAAAAAGAATGAAAATGTAAAGAGGTTTTAATGATTTTTCCTCTTTTTTTTTTCCAGTTTAAGATTCCAATTTCCTTCCTTTTTCTCTCTCTCTCTTAAAACAAAAATCTGAAGACTGAGGATGATGACTACAAATTTAAAAATCCCGGAAACGAATCGCACAACAACAACAACAATCGCTCGACGATTTGTAACATCCGGTCGCGTTTAAACGAACGAAAATGTTAAAATTTTTTTTCCTTATTACACGTCAAAAAAAATAACCCCTGTCGCCGTCTTGCAAAAAAAATAAATAAATAAATAATTTGAATTCGAATCGATTCGAAAAAAGAGTAGAAAAAACCATTCATCATCATCATCAACAACATCATCATTAGCCATACCACACAATTTTTTTTCTTTTTGACTTCGTTTAAACATTTTCGATTTTTCCGATTTATGGAAAACACCGTACCTAAACATGGAAACCTTAATGATTTGAATGCCAGGTTTAAAAAAAAAAAAAAAAAACCAGGTCCATTACATTTGGAACGTGCAATTTTTGTAAGAAAATTACATTGAAATTACGAGTTTATGCTTTGTAAAGGTCGCACGGGTCGAATAATTGAATCGCGCATGCGTTTTAAAGGTTTTTTTTTTTTTACTTAAATTCCCAACTATGGGAACCAGTTCCTTTTTTTTCTCTCTCTCTTTCACCCACCCACCCCCTCATCTCCTCGAGTAAATAAGAATATTATCAACTCATTAAAAATAATAATACATACGGATTCTATTGGCCTGAAGGTGGTTTCATGTGAGAGACATGCGTCCATACGATTCCGTGCCAATCAAATGTGAGAATATAAAATAAAATGAGAGAGAGAGAGAAAAAAAAAAGATGAAAAAACGGGTCGGTTTTTTCGGTAATGCTCCAGTTCACGACAGAGTTCATAGGGTCACGTCGGAAGTAAATTTTAAACATGAGAAACGTGATTGAAGTAACACCGTGAAATGAATGATCCATCTCAACTCTCAAATGATTCATTTTTCTTTTTTTTTTCCGACATTCTTTCGATCGGACTCCAAGCCAAAAAAGCTACTACTACCACCACGTTCGAAATAAAAAGTAGTTAAGTAATTTCGAGCAACAGGATATTTAAAAAAAAAAAAAAATCGCGAAAAATAAAAACGCATTCGAATGATAAAATTCCTTTCCATCGTCCCTCCCGCCTTCATCAATCGTATCAACGTTTTGTAAACAACAATGGGATAGTTAGATACGAAACAATTCTAAAACCACGACGATGGCAACAAATCATTCAACTTACGACCGTAATGACAAAAAAAAACAAACCACTTTTTTTTTTTTTTTTTTAAATAAACGCAAAGAAAAATAATTATTCTCGACCGGTTGGAGCATTGTGTGTTACCCCGCTCGTCCATACCTTTCCTACCACTTCAAAAGTCATTTTCAATGAATACAGATTAAAAATAATAATAATAATAATAAAAAAGAAAAGAAACCAATTTAAGAATTCAATAGGAATAAAAAAAAAAAAAAAAAAACTGAGTATTTATTCAGGTGAGCAGAAGATTCGATGAAGTACTCTTTGTTTACATTTAACGGAAGTGAAAAAAAAAAAAAAAATGTCGGTCACTCGTAGATTTTGACGCGATTAAAACAACAATTAATCCAAGATGGATTTGCGACAAGAAGTACAAATTTTGTTTCCGCAACAACAAAAAAAAGTACGATTCGATAATTTGCATTCATTTATTTTCCATTCGATTATTTATTTGCATTCATACGCCCCTGACCTCCGAATTTTTGTTATTTTCCTGTCACACATTTTTAACATCTCAGTATGATTCTTTTGTCTGACACTCGGTATGAGATTGTAAACTCACAAAACTCGTTTTTAATTTATCCTTACGGATTATTATTATTATTACGCAAATCTATTATAAAAACGTAACGAACGGGCATCTTTCATTCTTGAGCAAATACCAATACGTAATGCAGGATTCGAAATTATTCGATTACGCACGCACGCACACACGCACGCGTTCAAACACCCAAACACAGACGCACACGAGCTCGCGCAGGAAACAAACAAACAAACAAACAGCAGTTAAAAAATTCGATGACGAATATTTTCCACGGATGAAGAAGAAGAAGAAGAAAAAAAAAAAAGGAAACGAAACGGAAATACTTTGAATGGTACTCACGGAAGCACTTTTTCCCTCCAAATCTAAAACCGGAAACGTTCTCGTTTGTACTTGATATTCTTTGAGCAAACATTCCATCGTTTGTATTTCCACGAATTGAAGATTTCTTAATGTTTCGCATGTTTTTTGAACTTGTTCTATGCACGGAGAAAATGAACAAAACCTTCCACCTGAAATTTTATCAAAAAAAAATAATTTTAATTTTTTTTTTTCACACTTCTAATTAAAAAAAAAAAAAATAACTTCGGGTTTTGTGCGTGCGAGAGAGAAAGAAAGAGAGAGAGTGCGTACGTGCGTGCGTGTGCGTGTGTACGTAAAAAAAAAAAAATTATGTAAATATTTTTCGGGTCGTTGCTTTTTACTTGAAAATTTTTTTTTTTTTTTTTTTTGAAAATGTCCGACAAGTGTGAAAAGATGGTGAAAACAAAGTTGGGCAACTTGAGGAGAATCCTTAAGACAATGTTGTCGACCTCCTCATCTGGGAAACGCCCCATTAATTTTTTATACTTTATTTAGTTTAATCTTTATTTTATAGTTCTCACTGACTTTTTATACGCCCCCCGATCGTATCCTCCGATAGCGTTTTCTCGGCTTAGGGTTACTGGCATTTATCAATTCTCGTTTCGGGATTTTATTTTCTCCCTTCACGTAGAAAATAGAAAAACCAAAAAAAAAAAAAAAAAAAAAAAAAAACCCAGAAAAAATAAGCCAATGTGATAAACAAAATGAAAAATTACTTTTCGTTAACGTTAATAATAATAATAATAATAATAATAATAATAATAAAAACAATTGATTTTAATAAACGATCGAAGAACGTTTGTTTGTGCTCTTTTAAACAAGCAGACGATATTTAATTCAAGCGTAAATTTAAAAAAAAAAAACATTCCAAACTGTTGACTAATTTTTCCTGTTGTAAATTTTTACTTTCATACAAAAAATTACGCGGGGAGACGACGAAAAAGGGGAAGGGAAAATAAAAACAAAAACAAAAATCATAATAAATGATAAGATAAAGATAAAAATGACAAACAAATTTTTCGTTTTTCCATTACCCCCTCCCCCCTCCCGGGGAAAACCACATCTTTTTGAAACAAATCCGATTTCAACTCTTGAAAATAAAATAATAATAATAATGATAATGATAACAAAAATTTTAAAATTTGTTTAATCAGTGAGAGAGAAAAAAAAGGAAAATTTTATTCCGCTTCCGTCTAAATTTTTTTTTTTTTTTTCTTGTACAGGAAAAAAAAACCTTTTCTAATTTATAATTTTTAATAAATCACAATTTACTATTATTATTATTATTATTATTAATTTTATAGTTTTAACCTTTAAGCAAGTTTACAAAAAAAAAAGAAATCCCCCCCCATTTTGTTTTTTTTTTTGAAAATTATTCACTTGAAACTCGTTTGTAACCAACCAGCCTGAAAACCACCTGAAAATGCGTTCACACAATCAATGAACCATGAAGTTAAAGATCAAACAACAACCTATTAAGGCTAAATACATACATATTTTTATTTAAAATTAATTGATCCTCCCCCCTCTCCCCAACACACACACACACACTCGTTTAAATCGTTATTTCCCCCTCCCACCACCTTCCCAAGTTTAAACTGGGGTTTATTCGCTGTTGTTCGTTTCGCTTCGTCGTATTGTTTTGTTTTTTTTTTTTTTTTCGGTTAAATATTTTTGGGGACTCATCAAACTTGACAAAATAATTACGTAACATTTAAAAGCATTTAACTTCAGCCAGGTTCGGTTAATTTTTTTTTTTTTTTTGGGGGGGGGGGAAGAGGGACTTTCCTTCATCTCATCGACGAAAATTCGAAAAGAAAAAAAATTTAATTCATGGGAATTTTCCTTCGGGTGATTTAAAGTACGATTTTAAATTTTTTTTAATAATAATAGGTAATTTTTTTTGGGGGGGAGGGAAGAAGGGGGAGAATGAAATAAAGATGGCACTTAAACATACAAAAACAACTCGCACACACACACATACAAACATTCGAAACCCAAACAACAACGTTTTTTTTTTTTTGTATATAAAAAAAAAAAAAAACCCTTCGGGAAGTTATAGAATTATAAATACCACTTATAAAATCATTTGCATAAACTTGCGTGGCTACCGTAATTTATAAAATTGAATCATCTTTTTCTAGATTTTTCTACAACTATATATATAAATATATATAAATATAAACAAACATCTAACAACAAACATTCTTTTTCTTAAATGTGTTTCCGGCGTTCAAACGTGTTGTTCGTAAAAAAAAAAAAACGTTTAAAACTTATCAACATTTTTTTCAAACTTTATTTTTTGTTCTTTCGTTTCCCCCCTCTCTCTCCCACTCCATCCCTGCCTTATTCGAAAGGATGTGAGGAAGAATAAACTCCTCCGTCGATGGAAAACTAAAAAATTTCTACCGTAAAAAGGGGGGTTAAAAGAAAAGAAAAAAGTGGAAGAAGAAAAGGAAGAAAGGATACACAGAAAAATGAAGGAAAATGGGAGGAGGAGGGGAGGTCTACGCCTTTACCACCATCACTTAAAGGAATTAACCCGAAAGAAAAACCAAACATTAACAACAACAAATAAATGATATTGAAGTCGATGTAACAACCGGAGGCGAACCGAACAAACACAAGAAAAACAAAACAAAATATATGCAAATAAACGTTTTAAACGATCGACCATCTATTTTCGGGGTGGTAGAAAAAGTAAAAAAAAAAAAAAAAAAAAAAAGAATAACGATAATGATAACGTCCGAACATTAATTCCACGTTTTTCCTCCTCTCCTCCCTTTGCTAATTATTGTATTTACTTCTTTTTTTTCTTGCTACCGTTTACGACTTTCCCCTTCCCCTCCCCCCTCGCTCCCCGTATGTTCGTCTGCATACATATTGAATCTTTCTCACAGGTAACATTATATTTATTACAAAATTTTTCTACTGCCACTGAACATGAAACCTTTTTTTCTCTCATACTATTTTTCTTTCCCGCCGTGTTAATACCTATATTTAAAAAAGTTTTTCTCTCTCTCTCTCCCCCTGTTTCTCTCTCTTGAATTTTAGGAATCTTTATTATCGAATCCATCGATTGATTGTTTTTTTTTTTTTTTTTTTTCGATTTGTTGCCTCGAGAATAATTGTTTTTATTTAAACATTTGACGGGAATAAAAAAAAACGATCGATTAAATAAAAACATTTTTTCAAATTTTTTTTTTAAAAACAAAATGGCTTCTTTTGTATTTTTACCGCGTCGAATTCATTTCGACAAAAACAAACAAAAACGAAAAATTAACTAAAAAACTTGTAAATACATTAGTCATTGCTTCGTATAAAATAATAAAAAAAAAAACAATCGAATATTTAAAATTTTAATCACACGTACACAAATAAACAAACACGACAAAAAAGTGTGTGAGTGAGAGAGACAGATGGGGGAGGAAACAAACAAACAAACAAACAAACAAATCACTAAAACGTTTGCTTTCGAATAAATTAAATAATTAATATTTTCATTGAATTTTAAACTGAAATTGACAAAACAACCAAAACAACAAAAATGACAAAGGGTATGATAAAATTCAATAACGAAAGTTTTGTGATCGATAGATCGATCGATCTATCGATCACAAAGAAAATTGCAAAAAAAATAAATAAAAATTAGAAGGAAAAAAAATTTGAGAGTAAAACTCACATTCGAAAGAAAGTAATTTAATTTTTTTTTCTTTTTATTTCTATTCCTATTCATATTCGTTTTTGAAAAATCAATTTGATGATTATTAAAATTGTTTCATTAAAATATATATATATATATATGTTATGGTAAAATGACTGAACTTAATGTGGGGGGCGTTGAAAAAATTTTTTTTTTTAAATTAGACGTATGGCAGACCCATTAACTTTAAAGGAGATCAAATTTTTCTTTTTTTGACGTCAATTAGATTTTGATTATCGATAATAATTGAATTTTTTTTATTGTACGTGAATCATTAAATTCTATTAAAATATTCGAAAAGTATTTCCCCCCACCCCCTCCCCATTTTAGTTCCTTTTCTTTCATGAGAAACAAAAAAAAATTACTTGGATTCAATTCGTTCAACAAATGATATAAAAGTAACAGAATTATATTTAACGTTTATGTGTTTAAATATTCTATGCAGTTTGTTTATGTTTTTAAATGTTTAACTGCTCTGCCATCTATTGTTGACAAATGACACTTTTAAAACGCTAACTCGGAATAAGTTACAATAAAATACCGGTAGATTTCATTACGATTCACTTTCAATTAAAAAGTTTTAAATGTAAATGTTTGGGCATATTTTAAAACTTTTATTCCTCGGTTTAATTATTTGATTTATGTATAAATAAACATTTACGCCACCAAATTTTTTTTATTTAACATAAAATTTTAAAATACTCACCACTTTCTTTATATACTGCTGGAACATGTGTGAGAGCTTCCCACGGATGTGGCAAATCTAAAATGACAGCATCAACTTTTCCTTTCAATTCATCACCGAAACCATCGAGGCAAACATCCCTTTGTTGAATTTTAACAATATAATCTATACCATGTTTTTTAAATTCTTCTTCTGCAGTTGCAACTCGACTGCTATGAAAATCAAAAGTGTAAAGAAATCCATTAGGTTGTATGGTTCTAACCAATGCATGAGATAAAGAACCACTACCTGTTCCCGATTCGATAACAACTTTTCCAGGATTTAATTCTAATTGATGAATAATAACACTAATGTCTAAAGAATAAATTATTTGAGTTCGGTGAGGAAGTGTAAGAGTCCATAATTCTGGAGTCGGATGAAGAACATAAGCCCATCCTCTAGATAGTTGTACTTTTGTACCAAATTTTTGACCGATTAATGATGTAACTTTTAATGCTCCATAAGTTGTTTGAAAAACGTTATCGACTAATTCATTGTTTTTATTTTTTTTAAATGATTCAACTTCTATTGCATACATTGAATTAATATTTATATACAAAATAACCGTGTCTCCTTCTTCAATTACATTTTTAAACTTTCTAAAACTCATTTTGTTAAAATATCTACAATATAAAAACGATTCAATTCAAAATAAATAATATATTATTATTTTTTCATTATATAAGCAATACTGTGCAAAGTAACATGAGGATTCGTTTACGATACGTTAGCAAAAATCTTGGTAATTTTGATAAATCGAATTTTCGATTTAAAAAAAATATCCGTTGGCAATCCTGACTATGAAATAAGAATTGTCCAAGGAATGTTGGTACTGTCTAACGTCTTTTCTTGTTATTGGAAAATAACTATCAATTTTCTTATTCAGTAACCGAAAATTGGTATTATTTAATTATAATTTAATAATTTAAGTGAAGTTTTTTCGTGAATAAGTAAAAACAAATTTATTATTATGGAAGCCGCAGCCGAAGATGTGAGTAATCAAATATGGTGGCAACGTTTGATTTCCTGATTAGGAAATGAAATTTATTTTTTAAAAATATTTATTATCCTCACCTCACGGAAGAAATTTTAATGATGATATGATATTATTTTTGATAAGATGTATATTTTGATTTTAGACTCAGTTTGTAGTTGACGAAGTCAGCACCATTATCAAAGAAGTTGTAGAAAGTACCATAGGTGGAAATGCATATCATCAAAATAAAGTTAATCAGTGGACATCAACGGTTGTAGAGTCTTGTTTAAACACTTTAGCCAAATTGCAGAAGCCCTATAAATATATTGGTTAGTTTATAATTTTTATATTGATTACATTTAACTTTTTTTTTTGCTTATTATCAACATATACATAAAAACATACATGATTATGTAATTTTGCTCGATACAAAACTCATTTATAAAATTTTTTTTTTTTTTTTTCGGTTAAATCAAGCATGAAATTAATTAAAAACATTTTATTTTTATAGTTTCATGTACTATTATGCAAAAAACAGGAGCTGCATTACACACAGCAAGTTCTTGTTACTGGGATAACAATACTGATGGAAGTTGTACTGTTCGTTGGGAAAACAAAACCATGTATTGTATTGTATCAGTTTATGGCCTTGCTATTTAATATAATTTTTTTTTTCCTTTTTTTTTTTTTTCTTTTTTTTTTTTCTTAACATTTAGATTAACTTAAACAAAAGAAAGAAAGTATTTCTGCTTTGTATATTTCAAATTTTAAATATGTTTCTTTTTTTTTTTTAAATAAGCCATATAATTGTAGTAGATCTACAAGTAATGCTTACAACAAAGTTGTCAGTAAATACAATAAAATAATTTTGTATATTATAACGACTAATTATTTTTATTTAAAAAAAAAAAAAATATTTTGTGTTATTCTAAATAAGTAAATCACCATTTGTTATAAATATACACACAACTATCATGATCGATTATCTTTAAAAAAATTTTTTTTTGGGCCTTATTTATTTATTTTTTAATCACGTTATTTACAAAATTTATTAAAATGTTAAATATTTTTTCTACTAATAATTTTACAAATCCATTTAATAATAATAATAATAATAATAATTTATTTTAGTTTATTTAATAAAAATCTTTTCCAGTTTTTTTTATTATTATTCCATAATAATTTAGTTTTAAGGCAATCAATATATAATAAATATAATTTAAGTTTTATTATTATTATTATCATTATTTTTTTTTTTCATGATATCGATATTTTTGTGTAGCATTTATTATTTTAAATGTTAAATAAAAAAAGAAACGAATCAATCTTAATTTGTTGTTTGTGTATTTTTATTATTATTATTATTATTATTATTACTACCTTTTTATATTCATTTGTTTGTTTTTGTTTCTGTTTGTTTTTAAATTAATTAAAATTTAATTTTTATGGTATATCTTGTCATAATAATAGAAAGAAAAGGGAATCCACTTTTTATCATAATGGAGAACACGGTGGATTCATTTTGGTCAGGGATAAATTATTCTTTTAAATAAAATTAAAAGGGATTTTAATACCTGTACGTTCGTTTCTTCCGTTCCATCAGGTTCCCTGAACCCTGCTTGTTTCTCCAGGCAAAAGTTCCTGCGACGTTCGTTGCACTCACTTTAAAATAAAATCCAACATGGTGGATTCATCAACCCATTATTTCTTCTATTTCGTCTTTTCTCCTCCTTTTCGCTTGTTTCTCTTCTACTTGTTTCCTAATAAAATTTAAACCTTCTTCTATCGATTTGTTTATTTCTGTCGGATTTAATTTCGGACGAGTAGTTTGATAAGGTTTCGAAGTCGGACCGTACATTTCGAAAGTAGGAGGAGGAGGGATTTCCGCACCCCGTCCTCTTGTATTTTCTACCTTTTCTTCTTCTAATTCGTCTTCTATGGGTACCGGTTCCATGTTGAAAACTTGCCGTTCTTCTCGAACTTGTTCCGGTTGTCTTTTTCTACGAGATTTCTGAGAGGAATACAAATTGGGAGGCGCGAATTCTTCGTTTCTTTCCAGCCTTTTTTTTTCCATCCATTCCTCCTGACTCAGAACCTTACTCGTGTTTTCCTTTCCTATATCCCAAGGTCTGATGGGGGCTGGTTTTCTAACGTCTCTTCTCAATTCTTCTGGCGGATCCGGTGTTTTTTCTTTTTCATCTTCCACGCCTAAAATAAACGAGGGAAAACATTTTTTCATTAATATCAGCTTGAAGAACTTTATTCGTTTTTCATTCTCGTTATGATAATCACCTAATGAATTTCCCTCTGCTTCCCCTTCTCCTTCTTCTTCCGGTGGTAATCCTAACCTTTCTCTTTTTCTTCTTCTTGCGGCTTTGAGCCTTTCTTCCATGAGCTTTTGTTTCCTTTGTGCAGCCGTTTGTGTTTTCGCTTGTTGCTCGACCGTTTCCTTTCTTAAATTTTTCAACTCATCTTGTTGTCGAGCTCTTTCGACTTCGTCCGTTGAAAAACTGTAATAACCGACACCGTGAGTCCTTGCCTCTGTAAAAATAAATTTAAAAATAAAAATTAAAATAACCGGAACGTCCGAAAATGGGGGGACGGGGAGGGGGGGGGGGAAAGAAACTTTTAATCACCGATTCGAATTGAAAATTCTGTCGTGTAAATATAACGTAAAATAAAACAAAAAAAATTAAAAAAAATTCCCCTTTTGTCTTCTGCTCGTAACGGCTCACCAACGTCCTCCTTTCACCTACCGGCTGCTCATTATCCATAATTATTTCCATTGTGAAAAAATACAACAAGACAAAAACAAATCAAACCGACTCATTTTAAATTTTTTTGTGCTTTACATGGAAACCGCCTTTTTTTTAAACATATTTGTTTAACAAAAAAAAAAATAATAATAATAATAATACTTCCACTTTAACCAAACGGTAATAATTTAAACAAAAGCAAAAAAATTTTCATATTTACATTAACCTCTTCTCTCTCCCTCTCTCTCTCTCTAATAATATTAACATCCAAAACTGAGGTAATAAAAAAAAAAATTTTTTTTTTTAAAAACCGGAAACATAAATTCGACAAAACGACAAAAACTTCCTCACTGTCGAACGTAAATAATTTTCCACGTGACTTCCAGGCAAAATGGCCGTTCGAAACGTTCAGCAAAAAAAATATTTGGCAAACATCGACACGTTCGTTTTTTAACCGAACAAATAACAAAAAAAAATCTTACAATTTCGTCAGAGGTTTTTTTTTTTCATCCTCTCTTCGCCCCTACCCCCTTTTCCCACCTTAAATTTTTATATTATAACCGCCATCGGCGATAAAATGTCACATTTAATTTAAAAAAAAAAAAAAACTTTCGACATTTCGACTACGACGTAACACATACGACAAATTTCCCTTCGAGGTAATATCATATTAATTAGCAAAACTTTTTTCACGAGGAGTCTGCTTACGGTACTGACGTAACGTAAAAGTCACAAAACGGGAATCGAAGAGCGAATCAGTCAGTCAGTCAGTCATGAAACTCGAAGGGAGCCGGTACAGAATCATTTTCAACGCCGCCGCAACCGCCGCCGTCGTCGTCGCCGCCGCCGACATCGTCGAAAGTCGTTGCCGCCACCAAATTCCGCGATTTCGAGTTTTTTTTATTTAATTTTTTTTATTTATTTGTAAATAAATAAATTTTTTTTTTAAAAAATAAAAATCGGTTTGTGTTTATGAACGTAAATTTTTTTTTTTTTTTTTCGTGTGTATTATATTCGCGTGTATGCACATTTTCAATTTCGGAGGGAAACAAAACAATAATAATAATAATAAAACCGACTGCGAAAAAAAGATTTTCCGTAAAATGAATATTTTTTTTTTTTTTGGAAATTTCAACGTTTTCGATAATTCGAACGAGTTCAAAAATCAAAAATTTTTTTTTTTTTTTATTTCCCAGTCGTACCAATTATACGCCCTGAAATTCAATTTTTTTTTTTTAAATCAAATACGATTCGAACGGAACGACAATTAAATAATAAAAAAAAATATTTACGATCTAATCGAACGTTGTAATAAAATTCGAACGACTTTTTTTTCTTTTTTTTTTCTCCATCGGCCCCCCCACCCCACCCCCCGGCTCGATGTGACACACACGATGGTAAAAACCGGTAAAAAGATTTGGTTCAGTTCTCCCCTTTTGCGCTCGTTTTCCAAAATAAAAATAAATCGATCGATCGACCGATCGATCGATTATCGATTGATTTTTTTTTTTATCGCAATGTGAAAAATGACATCGTCGAAATTGAAATGTTATCAATTTGAGAGAAAAAAATAAGAAAAAAATTTTCCAACAACGTAAATAATTTCTTTAGCGCTGCTAAATTATGTTGTTTAGGCGATAACATTATTAATTATGTTTCTCATAGACTAAATAATCAAATGGAAAGGAGATGAAATCGTCGTCGACGACGACGACGTCGACATCTTTTCTTTTTTTTTCCTCCCTTTTCTCAAATATATAATTAACGATCAAACGAACCGTGTTGACATCTTTCAAAATGGATAACTGGATATATATTTAAAAAAAAAAAAATGAATTTTCTTCTCCGTGTGACCTTTTTGTTTTTGTTTTTGTTTTTTTTTTTTGGAGTTCGAAAATTTAATGATAAATGAAATGATAAAGGGAGAGAGAGAGAGAGAGAATATATCGAAATCGTAAAATCGTTTGTTTCTCCCGACGCCCCCCCACGTTACGTTTTATTAACAATATAACGATAACGTTTGCCACATATTTGACCCTATTGCACAAACCGGTTACTATTTTTGCTACGCACCATTTATACAAATAATATTAATAATAACAATAATAATAATAATAATCATTATTATTATTATTATTATTATTTGATTTAATCTTTAAAAAATTTAATTGATTGAGTGTCAGTTTCTTTGTTGACGTTATTTATTTATTTATTTTTTCGCGTTCGAACCGCGTTTTTTTTTTTTTTTCTTCTTTTTGAATTCTCTTTTCTTCTGCTATTCTTCTCGCGAATTTTTTCTAATAAATAAATAAATAATAAAATTTTTTTTCGATTTAACAATAAAAACTGTCGCGTTTCAGGTAAATAAAGACAAAAAAAAAAAAAATCACCATGAGTGTTGTCGATTAAACGTATAAGTGCCGGTGGTGACGTTACTTACTTCAAAAACTATTATTATTATTATTAAAAACTATATTAAATTTAATTATTTTTGGAAAATGCTACGGATTTTTATTTTACTTCAAACAATTTTCACGATGAACATCTGGACAGGTAAGAACAAACACATGTTAAAAAATTTAAAAAAAAATTTTCCTTTTTTTCTAGTTTGAAACTAATGAAAAATTTTTAAAACTTTTTTTTTTTCTTATTGAGGAAAATTAATAATGATAATAATAATAATAATAATAATATAACGCAACGTGTTCAACGTTTAAAACTTTAAGATGAAAAAATACAAAAAAATAAAAAAATTTATTTTAAAGGCGTTAAACCGAAATCATTTAACGGTAGATTTATAAACGGTAAATTTCTCCGATTTCTACCCAAAAAAAAACAAACAAACAAACAGTGATTTATTGGAACGATTTCAAAATTATCAAAACGACAACCGAGTTCGTTTAAGTTATTTGTAAAAAAAAATTAAAAAAATAAAAAAAAAAAAAAGGTCGCGCGCGACACCTTTTCCTGCCAATTAATTTATTAAAAATTAAATTTTTATTATTATTATTATTATTTTTATTTTTGAATTTTTTTTTTTCATTTTTTCCTTGAGCGATTTAATTAGCGGCTCTTTTCCACATTAAAATAAAATCATCGAATAAGAAAAAAAAACCGGAAATCGAACGAAAAAAAAAACAAAAAAAAAACAAAATTTAAGTTTGTCGTTAACCAAAAATGATTGTCGTGTTTCGTTAAAAAAAAGGTAAACAAAATGGTTTCGATGACGGAAAAAAAAATAAACGACGAGAAAAAGACAAAAAAAAAAAAAAAAAATCGTCTACTGCTACTATTACTTCATTTCCAGTTTTGATTTTCGATTAATTAAATTCGAATTCGACAAAAAAAAAAAAAAAACCATCGAACGTCATTGACGACGTTAAAAAAAAAAAAGTAACAAAGTAGTAAAAGTTACACAATTTCATGGATTCGAAAGTTTTTCTACAAAAAAAAATTTGACAACAACAACAACAACAACAACCGAAAAAGAAATAAGACAAAGTTTAAAATAAATGTTTTTTCAACAAAAAAAAAAATAAAAAAAATTTTTTTTTTTTTACGCCACATTTGTTTGGCATTTGACAGGAAAAAAAAAAAAAACATGAGTATTATTCTACAACCCCCTCCCACCCTCCATCCCCCCACCGAAAATCCCATTAAAAATTTTTTTTTTAAATTCAAAAAACAAAACAAAAACAAAAAAAACATGAGAATTCGAAAGGCACACACGAGAAAGAGAAAGAAAAAAAAAACATTATTTCGATTATTTATTAGTTTGTCCAAAAAAAAAAAAAAAAATCCCTTAAAATAAGGGTGTTGATCATCGAGGGATGAAATGTTAAAAGAACAAACAAACAAACATTCAACATCAAAGACGTTTGTAAAAAATTTAAAATTTAAAAAACAAAACAAAAACAAATTTTCAATTCGCTGTCCAAACGTTTCGATAATCGATTTTTATTAATTTTCAATTATCTTCTGTCTCTCTTTCTCTCTCTCTCTCTCTCTCTTTCCTTTTAAAAATTTCTTAATTTTCTCACATTTCTCCAAAAACATTCGAGAGACAGAGAGATAGAAAAAAAAACCGTTTCGAAAATTCAGGATTCGATACGCAAACGAGGACGCACAAACACACACACGAAAAACAAACAAACGATTTGTTTTCTCTTTCTCTCTTTCTTTCTTCCCCCTTTTTCCTTCTTTTTCTTTCAACAAAATCAATTAACGCGTGACATGACACTTGGTAAAACGAAAATGATGACAAAAATTTTAACGACGACGCGACGATGACGTTTCTCTTCCCGAAAATCTTTCACGCGTTTTACGTGCAAAAAAAGGAACGAAATCGTTTGTTTTGTTTGTTTTACCTCCGAGTAAATTAAGATAAGGAAAACCATTAAACAAACAAACGCGGGAAATTTTTTTTTACGAGAAAATTTTTCACGTGTTTGTTCTACGAACGACTCCGACCGAATTTTCCGACCGGAAGTAGAATTTGCGAAAAAAAAAAAAAATTTATTTCATTGACTGATGATCACCTCACACCTCTCCTCCCCTAACCTCATCTCCCCTCAGCCCCCCAACGCCTAATCGACTAATTTTTTTTTGTAAATTACTATTTAATAACCTCCACGCCTTTTTTCACGTTTAGTAAATAAAAAAGGGCAAGTTTTCAAGTCTTTTGTATGTCGTCGTCGTCGTCGTCGTTGTTAACCGTAACGTTTTAACCTCACGCGGCGGTTGACATTTTCCTTTTTTTCTTGATTTATCACCTATGACTTTTTGAGTGCGAATCGTTTAAAACGTAATAAATTTATGACAAACGATATGCACATATATGTATGCCGAGACGTAGAAATCGAAAACTTTATGCGAACGCTTTGGAAACAAAATAAAAGAAAATTTTTCGAGAGTTTTAGAAATTATATCGAGATTAAATTCCGATCAAAATTTTTTTTTTTTTTTTGTTAAATGTAAAATTCTAAAAAAATCACTTGATCATCGCGTTGTCAAATAAT